GAATCAAAATCACCGCGCAGAAAGAGGAAGGCTGCCAGAAGTTGTTTGAGGAAGGGAAAACACGAAACGTACAGAACTGACCATGGACAGGTTTCTCCACCACAACCGAGGGGTAAGAAACCCTTAATTAGAAAAGTTCCCATGTCCTAGCCTTGGTAAAGCTAAAGCTTCCCACACCACGCACATCCCTACAATTAAAGTAACCTGCCTTTTCTTTCCAGTTGACGTAGACCCCTACCCCATCGCCTCTGGCCATCCTCTCGCCTTGCAGGCTGACTGCAGTTTTGCAAGGCAATTGCGTGGGCGTCGGAGATGCTTTTCACAGGTGCCCAACTAAGAAATTGTGTTTGGCTCTTACAAAAGGCACAAGGCCGTTTTGCCAGAAGCTTGCGGCAGGACCCACTTCTGAGCGAGGATAAAAGCAGTCTTACCCCCTTTTCTAAATACTTCCAAATCTCAGCGACAAAGCTTTGTAACCTAAATTCTCTCAGATACAGCTTTATCATACATACAAAAAACTAAACCCCTGCTCCAGATACCTATTTTGTGATTTATTTTACCCACTGGCACTGAAGACATCTATTGTTTAAGCAGCTTCCTGCGCTGCAGAGCCTTGATAAAAAGTTAGCCACCAGCTGAAGCATCTTAGCTGAAGCATCAGCTTACTACTTCCATTAATGCTTCCACTTAATTGGCACCGTGACTTTCTCTGGGCACATGTCCAGTCCATATTTACTGTTTTTAATTTAGAAAATGCATCCAATCATCATCAGGAAAAAAAAAAATCAAGATACAGGAATAAGATTTAAGAGAAAACCCTTCAATTTTAAAGTTACTCCAAAGTTGTTCTTGACCTGTTGCACACCCTGGGAGGCTGTCCTCCGGAGAGGGCAGGGGTTGGTGGGGCGGACACTGCGCAAACCCTCTTCTGTCACCTCTACCCTTCCACCCTCCGCCCACAGAATCAGGTCCCTTTAATTTGCCAATCTTCGACGTTCCATGAAGTGTCAGGCAGACAAAATTTCACATTCCCTGTTTCCAAACCCTTGAAGTTATCTTTAAAGGAGTACAGAAAGGCAAAGTTACCTATAATTAAATATCATGCCTGCTGTGGAGAACTTACTGCAGAGCATCCTCCCCGCCCCCGGGAAGCAGGGAAACCGCAGGCGAAGGTGCTCCGCAGCGATCGCGCTCCTCAAGAGATGAGCAAAGAAGTCAGTCATCAGGCTTGGCACCAGGGGCAAGAGTTAATTTCTCACTTTGCAGAGTGAAAACAGACCACAACAGAGACAGGGTGACACACAGGCAGAAGACAACTGCCCAAATTTCTTCTCCAATACACTAAGGCCACTTCAAAACTGAGTCTGGCTACTTTTTTTGGAAACTCAATCCCCAAAAGCCAGTGTTTTGCTGCTGTACTAGGGGACCTGGAGGAGTATGTTTGCTACTGTAATAAACCTTTCAGCAGAGCTTGTACATCTTAGAGCCGTCTCACAGCCACACCAGGACGCTAAGCAGTCACTTCGATTGAGCCTGCGCTACAGAAAAGCGTTTCGAACGCTGCCCACCTTGTCCCAGCTGCTCCCCAAACAATTGTCAGACTCTCCTTGCAGGTAAATTTAGCAGCTGTTTCCCGTGAAAACCTCCTCACTATAAAACAAGCACAAGTCTTCTCACATGGAGTCATTAAGCCCAAAGTAAAAGCCCAACAAGTTGACAGAGCACCGGAAACAGTCAGAAAGCCTCTAATTCGTTAAAAGTCCATTTTCAATATCCAACATGCACCATTCACCGCAGCACCCAAGCCCTCGAACAATCCCCAGCTACCCCCTGCTTCCCAGTGCCGCAGCTGCGCGCACCGCGGCCCCCGGAACTCCCACCCCACTGCCGGTTTGCAAGAGGTGACTGCAGGTAAGAGCAGACTGCCCTCACCGTCACCGCCCGGCGTCTGTAACGCTGAGATCGAGGAAGACCGCGGCCGCTGCTCGTACAAACGCGGTACAGAGGTCACGATCCACTCAGGTTTGCAATAACACTCATGGGGTGCGCACGCAAACGCTTGTAAATCCAGGGATGCTGCTGCTGATGTCACACAGCAAGTTAATGATGCGCTGCAACGACGCCCAACAGGCTGGGAACACCAACACGGTTCCAGACCGAGAACCACTGTCGTAAACATGCAAAAAGCCTGACTGTCACTCAGCAGCAGGGAGAAAAAGATTCAGGGATTGAGAAGTTTGGTGCGAGAAAGGGATCGTTATAGTGTCAACTGACAGTCAACTTAATGAACACAGAAGCTATGAACGACAGCTGTGACATTCACCATCCTTCAGATACGCATCCACACACGAAACCACGTTTACATGTGAAAAATCACGCTAGCTGATCAGACGTCAAACACTCTGCCCACTCCACAAATCAGCTGGTATCACAAGCCGTTGTCTTACCGGGGGAAAAAAGGTCGCCATCATCACCACGCATTGTTGGGAAGTGCGGCGGGGCTGTTAGAACAAGAGGCTGATAACACTCATGGTGTGTATTTAACTCACTGACCCTCTCCACCTTATCTAAACACCCCGCAAGTACATCCATCTTCTAACTTAGACAAGCCTGAAGTGGTCAGAGCAGTTTCCCACTCAAAACAAGGGCTCAGAGTGTTTAAAATATTAAAAGAGAAGAATAAAGTTCGACCCAAGAGCAGATTTACATTTCAGAGAAGCAAATGTGTGCACCAGGAAAGCACGAGCTCTCCGTGTCAGCGGGTCTCTGCCATTCAACTCAACGTGCAACAGCAGAGTTCTGATAAGGTTACGTGAAAGGAATAATGGATCAAATCTGGCCACAAATGGGTAAGTCATATCCTTCAAAACAGTCAGGCCACGCAGTGACAGCATCACTCAGCGCTGGACTCACATCTCCTCTCCCTGCCCCAGTATAAACCAGTTGCTCAGGGAACAGGAACACCAGCATTTCCAGCAGAGAAGCTGAAATGGCAAAAAGCTGCCACTCAAGAAACACACCAGCAAGTGGTTTCCTCGGCAGATGCCGAAAAAAGGGGAGGAGAAAAAAACTAACAAAGGTCTAAGAGCTTCAAAACAGAGCAAATCACATAGCACCGTACTTTAAATGCTAAAGCAAATGACCGTGCCCTCCATCTGCTTGTGCGGCCCCCAGCACAGCACAGCCGACCCCCAAACCCCACCAGCCACCGCCGATCTGAGAAGCGTAGCAGAGGAGTGTTACTGCAAGCCACACCACCCCCCAAACCCCCCCCACCCCCCGCCGATCTGAGAAGCGTAGCAGAGGAGTGTTACTGCAAGCCACGAAAATTACTGAGGAAGGGCGAGCGTGCACGGAGCAAGAGCAGCGAGAGGACGCCTTGCCGAACACCCGGCTGCACGTCTGTCCCAGTAAATTCATCCAGCAGCTCTCCTCACCGTGGGAACCTACACACGTCCTGGCTTCAGAGTCAGCAGCCTCTGCTAGCACCCTGACCCGGAGTCCTCCTCCAAGCGCACCACATCTCCCCAGTTACACCAGTCTGCAGCTACCGGCGGTAACCAGCAGCCATCCACAACCCCGTAGCCTGCAGCAGTCCGAGCCCCAGGGGACACGCCACCCGCGCGCA